CTCTATCTAACTCATATTTTTTTTCTGGAAATGAATTAATTCTCTCGTACTTTTATATGCTAAAAAGGTCACATGTTGTCGAGATTTGATCGTAATTATGGCGTAATTGGAAAATTTCCGTTTATATCAGCCTTCATATTTCTTTTGGAGTTGAATTAGCAGTAATTCTCTCAATACTATCATCTATGTTGGACTATTAACGCGGACTACATATACCTACATATACTGATAAAAACTTTTTCCAATACGGTGTTAGTCGTATATATATAAGTGCTATTCGTGGTGTATGCAGAAACCTCAATAATTCGATTCATTTTTACATGGACCTGTTCTGAAACTTCAATGGTTCATGTGCTGGTTTCGCGAATATGTGATATCAAAACCCCAGCGGTATCACGAAATTCGTTGCAAAAACTTCGACAAAGAGCTGTAATTTTGCTTGACTGAGAAATTTTTGTGATCAGAATTTATTTTATGTCGTGCTAATACATATTTACTTCAATTTCTAGTTCGATTCGTAGATCGATTTATTGATTTATTATTTCTTTTTTGCAGCCGAAAAATCAATATATATCTTTTATATATATTTTGTTTATGTCATTAAAATGCAATGAAATTTAATTTCGATTACGCGATGAAATTGAAATGTCATAGGTAAATTCCAGGTTATTTTGTAGTATATGCGAAGAAAAGATGAATAAACTGTCACACAGGACTGATATTATTTAAAATTTAGAAAATGTAAGATTTACGATAAAATTGAAGCATGTCTAGCATGACACAGTTTTTAATCTCAAATATGTCATTTTATCAGAAGCAAACTGAAATTAAATAACATTATCTGATGTTATTTAATAAATTCTACTACGTAAATGCATTGCGATTAAAATAATAAGTATCCTGCTAAAGTTGTCCGTGCCGTCAAAAAGTCATCTCAGTTAACATTAGGAAAGTTGATAATAAAGTTAGAAACCAGAATATATTAATTATTTTTTGTGTAGATATATCAGCAAGTTTCGAAACATTCATACGCTCGTATAAAACTTATTTGAAAGCATAAATGATTCGCAATAAAGGTCGAGTGACATCATGAAAGAAATTTGAAACAGCGCGTTATTACTTCTAGAAATGTTGAAATTCCTTAAAGAGTAATTATTCGAAACAATGAGAAACTCTTGACGTCAGAAGTCTGTTTACATATTTTCAGTAATTACCTCGTCGGGCGACAGCCACGCCCTGTTGACCTTTAATAATTCCCTTTCCTTTTTCGCGAAATATTTATTTTTATCGACGCACCAGAAGGGGAAAGTTTTACCCGGCCGATGTTGGGTTAAAAATAGTCCAACGTGGCGTCGCTTACGGCGGGTAAGGCTGAATCCACGGATTTGGACAGATCGATGGAAATTCAGAAACGAGGCGTTGTCTCTCTGAGCTCCGAGCAGACAACTTTACCGTGAATACATGTGATGTTATAAGTTGAAATTGTAGGCATATCGTTGGTTGATACCGACGAGTCGATCAACCGAGTCGGAAATTCGTCGGAAACACGACGAATTACTCTTCATTTCTCTGCCCATCCATTCCTGCTATTTGCGCGTACTACACTCTCATTAAACAGTTCCACGAGTAACTAACTTGACGATTTTCAAATGCTCACTGATTCGTATTCTTTCACTTCGATGAATCAAATTTAATTGATTTTATAAAATAAAACTATTTAACTGATTTCCATAAAGCTCCGTGTTATCAAAGATAGAATTATTTATTTGCTAATAAAACGAAGTATTATCATTTTCAAATCTATAATAGAATTTTTATCAAAGAAATTTCAAATCTAGAATTATATAACTATGAAAAATTTCTTATTATGAAAATTATATTTCATTAATATTTTTTAAATCATACTTTTTATTTTTTAGTTATCTATATAATAATTTTTATAAAATAATGTTATGGAAAGAAATTTATGTAATGGAAAAACCTAAAATATTTTCAAAATTATTTATTCAACATACATTGAATTCTGAAATTCCGGATGTGACATGGCTTGCTATAAATGTCAGCTTGTCAGAATAATCGCTATCGTCTCTGGGGTGACATTCCACGCTCTTTCCGGCTCTCTTTTTCTGGAGTGTTTGAACAGTCTTAATAGGGTAAAATGACGATGTCGTCTATTAGCCTCAAGGTAATCAAGTAAAGTCTTAATCACAAATTTTACTTATTTTGTCGTTTCAAAATTATAATTTATCTAAAAATTTCTTGCTGTAAAAATCATTTTATTAAACACCGTTATCGAATTGTTAACAAGCTTCCCTTAAGATGTGTGTGATAAAAAGTGTTCAAATGTGCTCAATAATGAAAATACACATAATTCACAAAAAATCATTGATTAATATTGTACTTATTGATAATTCGTCGATTATAAATAACTTTTGAATCTATCAACACAACAACTTCGATAGGGGATGATTGATCGTTTTTGTTATGAGAGGACATATGTAAAATATCGATGACATATTGAAAAATTGGCTTGAGCATGATTTTCATTTCTGGAAGATAATGAGAAACGAAGTCGAAATCACGTTAAGAGGATATCTCTTGATCATTGAAAAGAAGTCAAGCTTCCGTCAGATAGATCAATTCATCTTTGATCCGATAGAGGATGAACTGCATTCGCGCCAAGTGGATCGTCCCACTACTCGGTCGTACAAGAGCTTGGCGACTGTGCGCCAAGTAGATCGCGTCGTTTTAGTCAGACAAAGAGAGTACATATATCACGCAGTAGTAGTACGCGCTTTTAATCAAACCTCTTAGCGAAGACTGCATTTTAAAGTGTCATTGTAGATACAATGGTTATTGATCAAATAGATAAAATACATGAATCTATAAATTTGACTTTTAAGAAAGATTTTGATTGATTGTGACTCAAATAATTGTTTTCAGATGCAAAATTTTCGTAACTCGTTAATACTGTCCTTTTCTTGCCGCATTATATGATCTATTTCATGAAATTTCTTTGCGGATTAAAATAATGTACAAATGATGTTCTGGAATGGCTCACAGTCCGCTTTGAATTTCATTATCATTCACAATTTTTATAATTTATAAGACGATTTTCGTAATTGTGCATTCCGCTTGTGGATGTAATTGAAATTTAATATTTATGCGCCAGCATAAAGAAGGATGTCAGCAACAGAAAAATCAGCACATGAAAGTTGAAATTAATCTTGCAGTTTCATTTGTTTCGCTTTGTGATAAAACAATACCGCGGTTGCCATATAATTCTGATTGTCGGAATTATCACGTATTTTAATTCATGTTCTGTCTCACGGATAAAATATGCATATCCTCCATTGGATTTTAGTATGCTCTCATATATCTCATTCTATGACTCAAGATGAAACATCAAATTGTTACGATTTCATTCCGTAACAGTTGACGTATTTTCTTCCCTTATTTCTTTCTTCGTCGTAATTTTAATTTTAGGTTCGTATTTGCAAGTTATTTTTATTTAATACTATATATTTTGCTAGGCACTGCTATCTATATATTTTTATAGTCTGCTATATTTAGGAAATTAATAATATATAGATGAACTAGATGAGAGACAAGGACTTAGAATCACGCCCTCACATCACATTATCGGGCCAGACTCGCGGGTGAAGTGATCCATATCTTGGCTGCTTCTCTTGTATAAGCCCCGTTTATCAGGTAGATACTTGGCGAGTCAAGTCACAAGACGATCATCGAGTTTCCTAACACGTCAAAACATGGCACAGTCGGGTATACGCGTAGTATATAGTGCTTCAACTAAAATATATAGCCCTTATCTACTATTGTCACAAAGATGAAGATTGTTTCTTATATGTATATATGTAGAGAGAAGAGGCCGATTTCAGAATAATAAAAGATTGAAAAACTAATTTTATATATCAATCACATGCCGAATAAAATGAATTATTGTATTCCGATGTATTTTTCTCGTTTTGTTATATTAGCTATTAATGGACGTGAATAATTAATTTATAATCATTTTCAATTACGTTTTACATTACACTAATAAGGAGAAGCAAGGAGAGAAATAACCGTTTTTGCTCGTTTATATAGACCTTAGTTTTTCCAATTAATGTCATTTACAACACGAGCTACGTCATTATTTTATTATATTACTTTACATATCGTTAACATTCTACCACAGTCCTTAGCGTAGATCGTGCTGTAAAATAATTTCTAACGTCCCATATAGACAATAAAAACATTCGAATTTGAAGTATTTAATCTTGTTCATAATCAGAACATTCATGTCACGTAAAATTATTTCACGTGACCTGAGTTTTAGAATTTTCTCTCTATTGTATAGCGAGAGAAATATTGCTAGCGTCAATAATGGATCACAGCAGCAGTAAGGTAGCACTGAGGAAATTTTACATAAATGTAAATATCTTTGTTAGTACAATCAATCCAAATATTTATACATAAAAGCGATTATTATAATTTCACATTTAATATTATTAAAGCCTTCTTATCTCGCTTTAAGTCTTTTACTATTTGGCGATTCTATTAAATAAAAAGTTTATAACTAGAACTAATGAATTAGGTGTTGCAATGTAAGATTTAGAAATCTATTAAATCAATCTTTTTACGAAATCCGATATCGATAGTTTCAATGACCTCATATGAACCGGCAGCGTGACCCGGGAATACCTGGGAATACCTCTCACGGCGCGGCGTAGTGTATGCGAATAA